CAGGAGGCCTGGGAGGGGGCAGGGGGCGGGGCGTAGATGGCTAGCTTGGGGTTGGCGGCCGGCGCAGGCCCAGTGTGCGCTGTGGCGTACGCTGCGCGGCTAAAGATGGCGGCCTCCAGCTGGCTGCGAGCGGCCCTGCTGTTCCTCTGTGCCTCGGACCTTCTGCTGCTACCTCCCCCGGGGGCCTGCGCGGCGGAGACGCCCGATGAGGCCACTTCATCTCCACGGAAGAAGAAAAAGGACATTCGCGATTACAACGATGCGGACATGGCGCGACTTCTGGAACAGTGGGAGGTCCGCGCCGCGATCACTCCTGGGCTCTTCTCCATCCGGGTCCCTTCCCACTGACCACCCCCCCACCCCCGCTCCTTCGCCCTTGGGACCCTCTGATTTCTGTCTTCTGATCTCTCCCCGTCCTGTACCCCAGGTTCTTGCTGACCGTCTCTAGCCCCCGCTTACCCTGAGTGCCACCCCTCACATCCTCCACCAGGCTTCTCGCCCCGGGTGTCCTCTGCCTCTCCAGCCGTGACTCGGCCTCTCACCGTTCAGCACTACTTTCCCTATCGTGCACCGATGGCCTTGTGTTCATCCGGTGGTTAGTGAGCTCGCAAACTGAGTGAACCCTCCAGAACAGCCTTTCCTCCCTCCCTCCCTCCCTCCCTCCCCGCTCTGTTCCAGGGTGAGTGGGTTGTGATGGTTGTCGCCAGGTTTTTCAGCTTTGATACTGGTCCGTCTAAATCGAGAGGATTTCTCACTTCCCATTTGGGTGTATGTTCCTGCTTGGGCTTTTGTTATTTTGTGGGTGGATTTATTTTATTGGTGGGGGGAGCTAAGGCTTCTCATATGGAACTCATGTTTTTCTTTTTTCTTTCTTTATTGTTTTTATTTGTGTGAATGTATTGCTTGCATGTGTATAAGTGCACCCGTGTCGTGCAATGCCCGCAGAGGTCAGAAGAGGGTGTCACATTCCCTGGAACTGGAGTTAGGGTGGTTGTTAGCTGCCATGTGGGTGCTACGAACCGAACCCAGGTCTTCTGCAAGAGCAACCAGTGCCCTTAACCACGAGCCATCTCTCCAGCCAGGAACTCACGTTTTTCATTCTCAGGAGCAGTGAGTTGTTTGTGAGAGGCTGCTTTCTGGCCTGTTATTTGGAATCACTAAGTGTGCAGTCATAAGGAGCTAAGGTAAAGTTCACTGATAAAAAGCACATTGCAGCCTTTTTCTTCCAAAAGTGATTGTGTGTCCTAGTTGATTTCCACAGCCAATGTCAGACAGGAGTCAAGAATTCTACTTGCTGTGTAAATTTGGACTGGTTATGTCTCACCTTTCTGGGCCTTAATTTCCTCACCTGCAAAGTGACTCTGAAGGTTTATTTCCAATGCTGATGTTTTATTTTGTGGTTATCTCTTGTGTATTGTGGAAAGGGGGTAAAGACTTTCAGACAGAAGTTTAAAATAGCCACCCACTGCATTTGACTAAAAGGAAGAAGATTTGTGTTTTCACATTTATCTGTAACTGAACAGTTTGGGTAGCCTGCTATGTTAGTGCATGCCTGTCATTCCAGCACTTGGGAGGGTGAGCCAGGAGGATTATCTTGAGTTCAAGGCCAGCCTGGGCTACATAGCTTCAAACTGGCTTGGGAGACATAATGACAATCTGTCTCAAAAAAGGAGTAGGTTAGAGGGTGAGTATGACTAATGAGAAAATACCCCCTCATTTTACCTCCTTTGCAAACTTTTGGACTGTAGTAGACAAAGCCTTTTGATCTGCCAAAGTGAGAGCATCACCTTGTGAGATGCCCTGCCCTAGAAGAGGCACAGACCCTTAGCTAGAGCATGAGGGTGTTGCAAAGCCAAGCAAGACCTCTATTAGAAAGCGCCTCTAACAGAAATAACCATAGTACGTGGGGAAAATGACCAGCATCTATGAAGAAAGGAGCTGTGGGAAAGTCAGAAGGCTCCAGGGAGGGAAGCAGCATTTTAGACATGCTAAGGAGAGTGTGGGAGAAAAGTCTATGAATGACACAGAACTGGACAGAATAGCACAGAAATCACAGTCTAACCCTCTGGAATTTCCTTCCCTGGGTTCAGGGCACTTGTGAATTTGGCTTGGTAGAGATCTGCTCTGTGCTTTAGTTTCCTGCAAAATACAGATGTTGGTGCTCACTTCAGCAGTTACAGGTATGAACTGAGAAAACAGGGAAAGAACCAGAAAGTGCAACTCGGTAATCAGCATCTGTGCTAATTAATTTAGGTTAGTGAAACAAGTCATGTCTGAAGGAAAGAAATGGGAGGGAAAAGTTGCTAAGAACCAACTTAGCATCCTAGCATGACCTTGAATACTACTGTGTTTGCACTTTAGTTAGAGGGAAATAGGTGGATCTGATGCAAATGAAAGTTGTTTTATGAAAATATTACACTAGATGTTCATGTTTAATCATCTCTAACCCTGTTTTTCGAGTGTCCTATTGTATGAAGGCAACTATAATCAGTTTAGAGGCACCCCCCCCTTTATATTTTTTCCTTTGGCTGTCTATTAATCATTTCCCCCAGCTACTGAGTTACTGAAAGTTTTATTAGTTGTGTTTTAAGCTAGTTTGGAATGTACCCTGGAGTCCTGGAGGATATTTGAATGGAGGAATGTCAGGATTAGGGCCAAAGGTGATAAGGAGTTAGTAGGTCAGCAGAGTTGTGGATGGGGCATCTGAATGCTGATTATACATTATCTCATTTATTCCTTTCTCCTGGGAGAGGCAGGGGCCCTGGATGCCTGTCTTTGTTTCCTAAAGGCTTGCCTCTAGGTACCTAGAAGTTAAGTAATTTGCCCAGGGTCACACAACAGGCTAGTTTCTAGGTCTGTCACTTGACTTTAGAGCCTGTTCTTTAATCCTCTTAGCTGTGCCTCCACACTCATTAGTGAGCATGGTTCAAATAGAAGATGGTGAAGTTTGAGGGAGACCAAAAGTCTTAAGCCTGAACTAATAGGAGGGAGAAATGTGGACACTACAGATATGAGCTTCCTTCCCCCGCAGCCCTGGTTTTTCCTCTGGAAGACGATCCATTTCTGAGTAGTATGTTTGTCTGTTTTCTTAGGAAGTAGTTGTTCCTCCTGCAATGGAATATACGTTTGTACCCAACTCTGCAGTGAGGAACGGGTTAGGTGAGGACTCTGCAGTTAGAACTAATGCTGAGTCCCAGCTGGCACAAGAAAAGCAGATGTGGTCATTTCATTTTATGGGGAGGCTTATGGAGGGGATTCGAAGCCAGAAATAGGGTTGGACTTCAGAGTTATATGTTAGTGTGGAAGTTGTTTATCCTCTTTGAGTCTCTTCTATTTAGTATGTTGAGTGAAAACTTCGTAGGATTGTTCTAAAGGTTGGAGATCACTTGTGTCCATGTGGGACACAATAGAAACCTAGTAGATAGTAGCTATATCAGGGCCCCTGAGAGATGAAAAGATTCACCAGAGCTCAGCCTTGTGTAGCTCATTGGCAGACAACCTACTTTGATGAGGTCAGTTGAAAATGCAAGACTGAAGCTAGGTGTCTTATACACAGCTGTAATTCCAGCCTTAGGGGTGGAGACAGTGAGATCAGCAGTTCAAGCCAGGTATGATGGCACACATCTTTAATCTCAGCACTCAGGAGAAAGAGGCAGGCCACCTGGGGCTACAGCCCATGCTTCACCTTCAAAACAAAACAAGGAAGCAAGGGCTTCTAGATACATATTATATATAATATATATTGATTATATTTATATAAAAAATATATATTTTTGTTCATTTCAGGTTGGTTTTTTGGTTATAGCCTTGTTTAAATATAATTCATGTGGCATATAGATTTCACTGGACCATGTCAGCAGTTTGAAGTATATTCAGAGCATTGTTACCATTGTCACAGTCCATTTGGGGACTTGTTCATCACCTCAGAAAGAAAGCCTTGGTCACTCCCTCCCCATTTCCTCCCAGTCCCCCAGACAGCCCTAGTCAACCATGATGCTATGTGTTGTCCTTCAAGGTTAGTGTGTTCTAGACATTTCCAACCAGTGGAAGCAGGTCTGTCTCTGACTGTGGCTTCTCTTGCTTGCTCAGCATAGAGTCTTCAGGGTTGTCAAATTTGTGGCCGGATCAGTCAGGACTTCATTTTTTTTCTGTTGCTGGAACTAGATTTTTTTTTTTTTTTCCTCTAGGAAACCTGGCTCCCTGATTCTAGAACTTGTTTTTTTTTTAGGGATTAAATAAACTATTTACTTTTTTATTTGTGTGTGTGTGTGTGTGGTGTGTGTGTGTATGGTGTATGTACGTGTGTGTCTGAATGTGCACACAGAGGCCAGTAAACTATTATTTTTTATTTGGGGGAGGGTGTATGGTGTATGTACATGTGTGTCCCAGTATACACACGGGGCAGAGGAGCATATCAGGTATCTTGCTCTATCATTCTCCACCTTATTTCCATGGGCATTTGAACTCTAAGCATGTGCTCTTACCTGCTAGGTCATGTCCCCAACCCTGTTTTAGGGATTTTTAAATTTCACTTTGACTAGTGTGTGGGCATGCATGTATGTATGAATCTGTATGCCACTGCACATGCATGCCATTGCATACGTGAAGATCAGAAGTAGGTTCTCTCCTTCCACCATGTGGGTCCTGGGAATCGAACTCAGGTCATCAGGTTTTGCAACAAGCATTTTTACCCACCGAGCCATCTCACCAGCCATTTTAGGGATTTTTATTTATCTATCAGTTGACATACATTCTGTTTCTTTGCTGGTACTCCACTGTCAGTAATTCATTCTTTTTTTCATTTCTTTATATCAGTATGGGCTCACTAAATCTTTACTGAGGGAGTTATACGTCATTACTGTTACTTATTTTGATGTTCACATTTTTCCAAATCTGGCCCTTAGCTGCTTTAGGTTGGTATCTGTGTCGTGCTGACGTGTTCTGTGATTCATTGGGCACTTCCTCACTTTCTGATGCAGGAAGGTATTCAAGGTCTCTCCCGTTTTCCTTGCCATAATTAGTCTTTTCTCCAAAGAACCTACTTGTCCATATTTTTATCCATCCACCCATCTGTCTGTCAATTAATCTATTAAAAGCCATGGGATGCTTCTGCGCCTAATTCCAGTCTGATCCCACAAGGTGTATTCTTCCTCCTCCATATCTTCAGCTTCCCCCACTGAGGAACCTGCTCTAGTCACCAGCAGTATGTCTTTGCACATCCCCAGAGTTCACAGAAGGTGCTTTCAGAAGCATGCGTCATACCACTGCAGAGGACAGACCTGCCACCTAGGCTTGAATATGTGTTGAGTGAAAGGCAGAGTATAAGTATGAGTGTAAGAGGATTTGTTTTGTAGTGCTGGGGATGGAACCCAGGACCCTGGGCATGATAGGAAAGCTCTGTCACTGAGCTACATTCCTAGTGCACAGGGTGAGTTTTGAATAATGGCTACGTCTATGAAATCCACACCCTATTGGCATTCAGAGCAGTTGCATCACTCTAGAAGGTTCCTTGTGTCCTTTCTCAGTCAGCCCTATCTCTTAGCCCCCTTGAAGAAATAACCACTCTTCTCATTCTGTCAGCCCACATTAGTTTTGCCTGTTATTGCTACTATAAATAAATGGGATTGTGTGTCTTGACTTCTGTCACTCATTTTTTTTTTTTCTTCTTTTTCTTTTTGGTGGGACTGGGACTGATGCCAAGGCCTCACACGTAAGACGTGCTTGGCAAGCGCTGAACTGTATCCCCAGACATTTTGTTTTATTTTGAGACAAGATCTTGCTAAGTTTCCCTGGTCAGCTTTGAGCTCTCTGTCTTCTTGCCTTGGCCTCCTGAGTAGCTGAGATAACAGACCTCAGCCACCACGACTTGGCTGTTACTTGGCGATTTGAGATTTGCTGTATGTACCAGCATTTGTTCTCCATTGCTGGGCATAATCTTATTACATAACCATACCAGAATGTGGCTATTTTTATAATCTACCATATTGAGCAAGTTCTTTTAAGAGTAAAAACACCATAGAAACCCATAAAGCAGAACTCTGCATGGTGACATGGATTTTGCGTGGTGACACAGGACAGTGGGTAGTGAGTACTGCCTGAGACATAAGATGTTGCTCCAAAATCAAGTCAAGAGGAACACCCTAGGATTTTCTGTTTTTGTAGTAATTTGGGTATCCCTGCCCCCAACATCCTAGGCCATGCCTGTGTAGTTGGGAGAGTGCACTTCTGGTGACAAGTCTGATGTTTCTTCTCTCCTGACAGAAAGATGATGACATTGAAGAAGGAGATCTTCCGGAGCATAAGAGACCCTCGGCGCCTGTTGACTTCTCAAAGATAGACCCTGGCAAACCCGAAAGCATCTTGAAAATGACAAAGAAAGGGAAGACTCTGATGATGTTTGTCACTGTGTCAGGCAACCCCACTGAGAAGGAGACAGAGGAGATCACCAGCCTGTGGCAGGGCAGCCTGTTCAATGCCAACTACGATGTCCAGAGGTAAAGATAGCTCTGCCAGGCTGCTCTTCTCTTGTTGGTTCTAATTGTGGTTTTGATTCTTTTTTAAAAAATTATTTATTTATTTATTTATTTATTTATTTATTTATTTTTTGAGACAGGGCCTTCCTGTATTCCCAGGTGGCCTGGAACTTGCTATGTAGACCAGGCTGGCCTCAAACTCACAGAGATCTGCCTGCCTCTACCTCCCCATTTATTTATTTATTTAGGTCTTTTTGAGATAGTGCCCGGTGTAGCCCCAGCTGACCTGGAACTGGCCTTGAACTCACAGAGATCCACTTACCTCTGCCTCCTGAGCACTGGGATTAAAGGCGTGTGCCACAATGCCCAGCTTTGTTATTTTTATTTTATGTGTATAAGTACTGCTTGCACGTAAGTGCATCCATGTCATGCAATGCCCATGGAGGTCAGATGAGGGCATTGGATCTCTGGGACTGGAGTTATGGATGGTTGTAAGCCACCATGTGGGTCCTGGGAACTGAACCTGGGTCCACTGTGAGAACAACCAGTGCTCTTAACCTCTGAACCATCTCTCCAGCCCCGTGGTTTTGATTCTTTGAAATAGGGTCTGACTGTGTAGCTCTGACTGGCCTGGAACTTGCCGTGTAGTCCAGCCTGGCCTCATAGTCACTGCTTCTGCCTTCCACCGCTGGCATTACAGCATGAGCAGGAGCTTTTTCTGGGACTGTAGTGGGACATCCTTCTATCTCCCCAACATCCTTGGACCTTTTCTATCTAGGAGTTCTTTTCAATTTATTTATTTAAATAGTTTTTCTTTAAATACTCATTTTTGGTTAAAGCCGGTCAGTTCATTTTAATATCTCATTTAATCTTGAACATTGTCTTTATCTTCCTATTTTTAACTTTTATTTCCTCAGAATAAAAAATTGTCAGGGCTGGAGAGATGGCTCAGTGATTAAGAGCAATGACTGCTCTTACAGAGGGCCCAGTTTCGATTCCCAGCACCCACGCGTGAAAATGAAATAAAAATGAAAATTTTAAAAAAATACATATTTTTTTAAATTGTGTAAAGAACAAAAGAGTTGTAGCTCAACAGTTGCCCTATGTCCTTAGAGCTTTCTGGTCAGTGGAGAAGGTGTTTATGTGTAGCTGTGTTGACCCATAAGGCTATTATACCAGATTGCCAACAGGTAACTAGTGTGAACAAGCATCATGCCTGCTGGCCATGACTGTGCCACAGTCACCATGTTGCTCTTTGGTCTCTGGGTTCTGCTGAGTGAGAATTAGCTGAGCTGCTTGCTTCTAACCTCTGCTTGTGATTTCTGTCTGGCTGTCGGGTGTCTGGTGGGCTTTTCAGCAGCCCCTTAGGGCCTTTTCTAAGCCTTTATCAGCAAGAGTATTGTCAAACCAAACTAACTAGACACTTTAGACATAAAACAGGCTGGGCTCAGTGACAGAGATCTGTAATCCCAGCACTTGGGAAGTGAAGGCAGAAGGATTGGAAGTTCAAGGTCAGCATTTGCTGCTTAGAGAATATGAGATCAGCCTGGGCTACATGAGACCAGCCTGGGCTACATGAGACCAGCCTGGGCTACATGAGACCATCTCAAAAAAATGAACAAAAGATCATAAAACAGAAATGGAAATGGCATTTCAGAATATAAAACAGGTACAGATGGTAGCCTCTTCCCACTCCCCAACAGCCCCTGTGCCTGTCCACAGCACCCTGAGGAATTCACAGGAGCATCTCCTCTGTCTCAGGAACATAACCATCTGCTTGTTCTGTCTCATTCTAAGAAGAGTGCTTATTTTAAGCTCAGCAAACATTAAAGTCAGTTGCCACTAGGCCCCAGGCAATAGAGTGTTGTGTTCTGTATTTGTGTGGAATTTAAAATATATTTAAAATATACCAGCTCTCTGACCCTTGGCACCTCATGGTGGCTTCTCTCTGTCCAGGTTCATCGTGGGATCAGACCGTGCTATCTTCATGCTCCGGGACGGGAGCTATGCCTGGGAGATCAAGGACTTTCTGGTCAGCCAAGACAGGTGTGCTGATGTCACTCTAGAGGGACAAGTGTACCCTGGCAAGGGAGGAGGAAGCAAGGAGAAAAATAAAACAAAGCAAGAAAAGGGCAAAAAGAAGAAGGGGGGAGAGCCCAAAGTGCAGGCTTCCAAGGAAGACAACCGAGCCAGCAGCAGACGAGAAGACCTGTAGCTGCGGGTGCACCCCAGGAACAAGCAGGACAGGAGCACTCCTTGCGGTGGTAAGGCGGGTGGGTGCAGGAAGCGGCACACCGATGGCATTCTCCTGTCTTCTAGAGAGGGTCTGGGCATGGTCCATTGGACAGTTTCATAGTTAGTGTATGAAGGCATCTTGTGTGAGGGCAGGCTTTGAGACTGATGATGGACACTGGCAAGCCATGCATACTGCAACATACCTGACACATACCTCTTACATCTGGTGAGCCCTTGGTGCCCCAAAGCTCTGCTCCCTCTTTACTGCACCTGCTGTGGGCCAGTGGCCTGCTGTGTCTTTGTGTTGCAGGCTCCTCAGACAAGGCTTGAAAACTGAAGCCGGCGTTGATGGTGCTGTCAGTGAGGGTGAAAGTGCTGAGGGACCAGTGTAGCTAGCTGTATGCACAAGACTGGGGCAGCCAACCACCACACAGCATGCAGACACTGCCACCTGGCAATCCAAAGGAATTCCTTCATATCCTCAGCCCTCCTCGGTTCTGGGAGCCTTTTATGGGGCTTCCTATGGCTGTGGAGTGTGGGGCTCTCTTCTGCCTCAGTGTGGAGGAAAGGGGTGCTACAATGGAAGGCTCTATGTAACCCTGATTGCTGTAAAGTGCATGAGGAAGGACCAGCAGAGTCCTCTGCAGGGCTGGCAGAAGACTCAGTGACCTCATCTACAGTATTTCTAAGCGTTCTCTGATAAAGTGCCTAAAGTTGTGTTTTGTATGGTACTCACAGTGTGCTGCTGTCTACATCTCTGCTCTTCATAGATTGAAGCCTACTCCAAGAACATCTCAACACAGATGGCGTTTTTAAGAACTCAATTCTTTAAAGCCTCAGTTGTGATTTAAGAAATTATTAATAGCACATATTCACGTACATGCCTAGAAAGTGTCACCGTTAAAGAGTGGCACAGCGTGAAAGTGTTGCCCTGCTCTGCTGCCAGCCCTTGACCCAGTGGAACTACTGTTGATCATTTGTTTTTAAAAAATAAAGTACGTTTACCGGCTTAGAATGATGTGTATGTATTTTGACCTCATTTTGGTCCCCATTCATGTTTCCCTCAGTGAGTTACTGAGGGAGATGGGACAGAGAACCCATCCTGGTCGTGTCGGTGAACCCAACAAATCTGAAACAAGCCCTAACCCTGGGGTCTTCCGGCTTCACTTAGGGCAATTGGTTGGTTCTGTAATGTTTAGGCACACTGGTCATCGCCTGGGCCTGGTGCCTCCCACCGACCCTGGAAATCTTCCCACTGCAGATACATAGGCCTGTTGCTGCTTCCTGTGTTCTGTGTAGCCACATCACCAGAATTCATGCAGCATTTGCAGTGGCGGCCAAGGACAGTAAGCAGCCCCTGCCATCATGAACCTTATCGGCTAAGTGGGAAAGGCGACCTACAGTATAAACTGGCACCACAGGTTGAAAGAAATGTAGAGTGCCGGACCAGGTGGGCAGAGTCTTAATCTTGTTAGGGTGGTCAGAGGCTCCACTTAAGTCAGGAGGAAGTCAGGAATAAAATATGCAGGCAGAGGAATGGTCTGGGCAGAGGCCCTGTGGCTATAAGTAGAAAAGGGAACTCCAGGAGAGCCTCTGAGAAGATTGGGCTGGAGAGCTGAGGAGTACAGGGTATTGTGGGAGTGTGGGATGCCTGAGGCGTTTTACTTTGTTGGTGCTGGCAGACAGAACTGATGAAGGAGCCCAGGAGAGCATGAGCCATCAGGTAGGAGGACCTCTAAGTGCTGGAACTTGAGCAACTCAGGTTATCAGAAGAGGCTTGAACCACCAGTTCCCTGTGTGTTTACCACTGAGGTTCTTTGCTTCCGATTTCTGGCTGTATATGCAATGCTGTGATGAACTTATTTTCCCTCTGTATATATACTACTTGCTATAGAAATTAAAATAGCCCATAAAAATTTCTTTTTACAGCTCAAATTTTTGAAATCCAGAAAAATCTATCTTCCCTAATTAACAATCAAACTACCCAATGTTCTCACATTCTTTGGGTTCAAAGCTTCTAAAACACAGGAAGCCAGAGACCTACTGGTGCATCTCTAAGTCAAGTAGAATTAAAGTATATTGAAGTCATTTATACCCAAGCTGCTCAGATTTCTTATATATTACTGATACCAACATAGGAAGCGCCTGGCATGGTAATGTATGCATGTAATCTTAGTACTTGAGGGTGGAGGCTGGAGGATCAGGAGTTCAAGGCCAGCCTCAGTTACATAGTGATTTTGAGGCCAGCCCTCAACAACATGAGACCCTGTCTCCAAAAAACAAAACAGCCAAAAACCACACCCAAAAGTAGGTTATAGAGGAGCTTTATTAATTGAAAGAACCACAGATGGCTTATGCTTGTTGACCCTTGTCATGATCCCTCTTTTCTCAAATTCTCAGGACCTGTCCCTCTTACAGTAACTGGGGACATCTGAACAGCGCCCTTGCTGCACTCTGATGTCCCCTGAGACCACTGTCTCTTCTCTTTCAAGCTAGGAAAACCTGCTGCCTAGATCTCAGTTTGTCACTGTTCAGTCTTCCTGTGCTCCAGGAAGCCCCTTTTGCTGGAAATTGGTCCAGGACTGAGGGTCAAGTTATGAGAGTGGAGTTAGTAGCATTTCTGAGCAGAGATAATTCAAGCCTTATGAACCTGGGGAGTTTTCTTTGAAGGACATCTAAAGTCTCTCCAGAGTCAAGGCTTGGATTAAATGTTTGTGGCAGGTGTTCTGAACTTGCCAGAATCTGCTCCATGGTAGTCTGTACCCTCACAATTATGTGCCCCTAAAAGAGCCTTAAAATACAAACTTGTAGACTGGGCATGGTGTAGCATGCCTTTAATTTAGCACTCAGGAGGCAGAGGCAGGCAGATCTAAGTTTGAGGCCAGCCAAGGCTACATAGTGAGAGCCTGTCTAAACCATAAAACAAAAACCCAAACTTGCCTGTAAGCCCAAACCTTGGGAAGTAGAGGCAAGAGAATCAGGAGTTTCAGGTCAGATTGGACTACATGAGATACTGTCTCAAAAAACAAAACAAAATGCTACTAACCACAACAATTAAACAAGTGATGGTGAAATAATCTGACCTCTGGGCATTATTTTAAATTTATTTATTTATTTATTTATTTACTTATTTATTCATCCATTCAAGTGTTCTGATTGCCAGTATGTTTACTGGTGTGCATGCAGTGCCTATGAAGGTTGGAAGATGGTGACAGAGCCATCATGTGGGTACTGGGAATTGAACCCAGGTTCTGGAAGAACAAGTGTTCTTAACACCTGAGCCATCTCTCCAACCCCATTTGGACATTCTTATACACAATGTTTTGGTGAACTTTTACATTTAAAGGTTAAATTCCCAACAGTGTAATTGTTAGAATTTAAGGTTTGATGAATATTGCCAAGTTGTTGACCCCAGTGGTTCTGGCAATCTGGGTTCACCAGCAGTCGATCTATGATCCTTGTCAGCTCTAGTCATCACATGTAGCATTTCAATAAACTGAAAAACTAAGTCTTTTTAAAATTTTTATTTTATGTGTATGAGTGTTTTGCCTTCATGTATGTAAGTGCACCTGTGTCATGCAGTGCTCAAGGAGGCCAGAAGAGGGTGTTGGATCCCCTGGAAGTACAGTTGTGGACTGTTAGCCATCATGTGGGTACTGGGTACTGGGAACTGAACCCATGTCCTCTGCAAGAGCAGCCAATGCTCTTAACCACTGAGCCCTCTCTCCAGACCCTGAAATCCAGTCTCAATTGTCCCCCCTGTAGCAAAGTGCTAGAGAAACCCCGTGTAGAGTTCGCCTGACAGTGCGAATGCTTACATCCATCTCTTCCAGCCCCAGCTGTGAGTATCCTCTGCCCAGCACAGGTACCAGGGAGCAGATCTGCACTGCTTTATCTCTGGCCTTTCAGCTGACAGCAGAGCAGAGCCTTGCTAGTCTGCAAGTTTAAGAGTATACGAAAAGCTGTATTTTTGGTACATCTGTCTTCATGTCCATCTGTCTAGTGATCTAGTGATCTATAACCACTGTCAAGCTTGATGCTGGAATGACCGGAGGGTATGGCATTTCTAGCTTTCTTCATGTCACATTCTGCCATCAGGGAGGTCTAAACCCACCCTTATCACCCTTAGAAGAGTCCATTTTTGTATAGTCCTCCTTCCCCCCTTCCCCTTTAACTACCTCTTTTTTTACATATTTCTCCCTTAGCTATACAAAACACTGTGGAATATAGGGGGGAAAAATTCTCCCAATACACAGTTTAAAAAAAAAAACCTTAAGCACAGAAGAAACCCTACAGGGATGGAAGAAGGCCCTAGCCCTACCAGAAGCCATATGGTTGTTAAATGAAAATCCCAGTGTCAGAGGTGGGTTGCCCCCTATGAGCTGTGGCCAGAGGGGCCCTAGAGGCCCCTAGAGGCCATTGCCAATAATGTTGGTTGTACACCAGAAGTGGACAGTAAGACCCTATTGCTGAAGACACTGCATGATGTAAATGCAGGAGAGGGAGAAATCAAGCTTGGACTAATCTGGAAACTCCCTGCCACTGGATGGATGGCTTTCATAGTGCCAGGAGGCAACACACAGATGGCCTGTGGAGAACTATCCCCTATAATTCTGCTCAATAGCGGACCCTGCATGCTGCACTATCAATATGCGAAACAAGATATTCCTGCTGGTGCAATAGTGGTGTGAATAGTATTTGTACAACAAGCAAATTTTCAATTGGATATAATGCCCGCTCCCAGAGGTGAAACACACATCTGGTACTGTAGACCAGGCCACTGCTGTGGCAGGGGAGGCTATAGACCCTGGTGGGGAAGCCACTGCAATTGTTTTGTTAGATGGATGTGATGCACCTGCTAAAATACTGTCTGAGCATTTGTGTTTACACCCATAGGTTAAGTTATTATAGCAGTCACTGTTTGTGTTTTTATAGTAGATGGAATTCCACTGAAATAGGCCAAAAGCCCATGGTAAACAGATGATACAGAAACTCAAAAGTTCAGTGCTGTATCACAATGGGAGGAAGGTCATTCCATACCTATCACCCCCTCCAAGACTCAGGGACTTTTGCAGAAGAGGTTGGCGGAAAGAATGTAAGAGCCAGAGGAAGGCGTGGAGTGTTACCTGGAAGTGTCCTCCAACTGCTATGCCGGCAAGCTATAGTCACACCTTCCCACACTCGTCAAGGAGTCAAGGGGGCGCCAGTTACCCCTGTCACCCAATCAATTGGCCTTAGCTGCATATGGGGGAGGGGCTAAGGATATATAAGCCAAGAATGCCATGAGACCCCTCTCGCCATTTTGTGTGGCTGTTGGGAAGTCACAGGATCTATATTTGAGTGTAGACTTTCTAGCACAGCCGTGAATGGGGGGCAGTGCCCACTCTTCTGTGAATAAAGCCCCACCCCCTGCTCTGTTAGCAAGCCCAATAAGCTCATTAGAATTTTCACAAAAAAATAAATAGATAAGAACAGAGCTAATGAAAACCTTCATTATTCTACCAAAGTTGACCCCATGTTGGCAAATCCTTTGGTCTTTGATTTCCTATTCCACTTTCCCCCCTTAAACTTCATTGTGTATATATTTTTATGTGTACTGCTTCAAGTTATTTCTGTCAAGAAATGTGTTAAAAATTGCCTCTCTTTGGAATAATAAAAATATTCTAATATTTAAAAAAAAGAAGAGTCCACTTTCTCTCAGAGTCTAAGAATTTTTACTTCTATTATTTTAAATGTATGGGTATGCCATGGATTGTTTGTGGAGGTCAGAGGACAGAAACCCTGTGGGAGTCTGTTCTCTCCTATGTCTGTGTGGGTCTCCAGGATCAAATTCAGGTCATCAGCTTGGTGACAAACTTTTCCTGCTGAGCCATCTTGATGGCCTGAATCCTTCCTTTTAATTAATATTCTGTCATTTTGCTAAAAAAAAAAATCCATGCTGATTTCTGAGTCTTTTTTTTTTTTTTCTCTCCTAGAACATGAAGTGCCTGTTCTGATTGCAGATTCAGCTCTCAA